TACATATATTTTTCATTTTTTTCATTATGTGATTTAATATTACTACTTTATAAGTACGCAATTGTTATTTAAAAAAAAAAATCTAGTTTTGTTCATCTTTCGTTTTTCTTATTTTATTTCACTGGCGAGTTTTATAGTTGTTTCTCTTTTGTCTTGTAGATTTTTCCCTTTACTTGTTATTTGTCGATTTATCCTAATACTTCCTTCTTCTACGTCGAGTTCTCCTCATCCATCCTTTACATCGTCTCATAGAAGCATTTCGCTTTGGTTTTGGAGCAAGTGACGGTGTCCTTTTTCATGAGGGTAAGTTTACGATTTTTTTTTTTTGACATAGCACAGTTGGGAAAAATTTTCCCCAGCATACTGTGCTTTATATTTACAGAATTTTTTCTTAGGTCTGACCATCACAACATTAAAATATCTAAATTTTTCTAATCATGTATCTGTTTAGTTTTATTTTAATTAATGTTCATCTAATTATGTGTATTTCGTTTATAATTTTTTTTTAATTTTCATTTTATCTTTAAATAAATATTCAAATATCTTAAAATTCATTTTACCATTAGGTACTTTACTTTTTTTTCTAAATTTTATTATATTATATTATTAAAATATATATCTACAACTATTAATACAAATAATTAGATAATTAAATGCAAAAAAAAATCCTCTTTAAATTTAATAATTAAATACAAAAAAAATCTCTTTTATATTTAAATAATTAAATACAATAAAATTCATAAAATTTATTGAAATATCTTATTTATAAAATTACAACTAATTATATTATCTTTTTATAACAATTTCAAAAAAGCTAGAAAATTATTTTTTTACTTATCAAATTATTAACTATCCAAAATAATAATGTTTTAAAATTTTTGCTACTTAGTTTCTTTTAAATAAATTATTATTACTAAATAAAAATATATTTCTCAATTTTAATTATACATTAAACAATCATAAATTTAATCTTTTATTCAAATAATTTCCCTTAAATAATCTTGTTCTTTATTTTTATTTTTTTCTCCTAATTTATTTTTAAATGAATTACTGTTACTACATAACAATATATTTCTCAATTTTAATTTTACATTAAGCTAACATAATTTTAATTTTTATTTAAATAATTTCCCTTAAATTATTCCATTCTTTATTTTTATTTTACTAATTGTCCACTACTTACTTATTTTTAAATAAATTTTTATTAATAAATAAAATTATATTCCTCAATCTTAATTTTAATTTTACATTAAACCTCCATAAATTTAAACTTCACTTCAAATAATTTCCCTTATATCATCTTTTTATTTGTATGGTTGTTTTTTTTACTCCAAGCTTATCAGTGAATAAATTATTATTACTAAATAAATATATATTTTCCAATTTTAAATTTAGATAAAGCAATCATAATTATAAAATATTAGTCCCATAATATTTCTTATGCTATTTCTCGTATTTCATTAAAAAAAATTATAAAACCGACTAAAAAATAAGTTTTCTAAGAACAAAATTCCAACTTATATTCCGAGAAGATTAAGAGCAATTGAAGGTCATAATTTAGGTTCTCAATAACCGAATTCTGAGCATGACAAAAAAAAGTATGATATCTCTGTAATATAATGCACAATATGCTTCGAGAGAAATAAAAAAATAAAAAAATCCTAAGTCAGTGATTTCAAGAGGTTGCGTGGTATGATGTTAATTGTTCACCCACGATAAAAATAATAAGATTAAAATGCCTATATATAACATAATAAATTAACATTACATAAAAATACCTATAATAAATATTTTTTATGCTATATATAGGTTGAGTATTTTTTTTCATATTTTTTTTCTAATATTATATATGCCATTATCATTTCTATTTAGGTTATTATATTATATATTATATATTATATTTTGCATTAAAAAAAAATGTTATTGGAGGCCCAACAATCCAAAATAGCAATAGAGAGGTGTGAAAAACATACAACTCCTAATATGACCCAACCCAGGAGAAGAGAAAGGAAGAGGGAGAAGGGGAAGGAGAAAGTCGATACCCCAAACGGAGCAACTCCAACACAGATCTGTAGGGGGCGATAGAAGAGCGCAACGCCAACAACCAAAGTGGACAGAAACTTGCAGGAGAGAATCAGTGAACCACGGATTTGTTACCCAGGTGCGTTCTGCATAAATGGTCTGAGTTTACAATGATATTGTGTATATATACATGTATAAATATAATCTTAAATGTAAAACTCTAGAATATATATATATATATATATATATATAAATGTCAGATTAATGCTTTACCGGCAAAAAATTTCTGCCCTGGTCAGAAAACTGCTTTTATGCTAGTAATTAGGGGAACTTCCGGCTAAAGAGGAACACAATTAAATCTAAGAATACTGAGTTAGTGATCCAGGGAATTTAAGTTAAATAGTTCCCATTTAAGCATGCTCCTTGCCCTTCGCTTCTGATGGTTTGCAAATACCCCGTTTGGACGTTCAAATTCTAAGAAACTATTGACAGTATGATTAGCTGTTGTTTAGTTTTGTGGTTGATCAAGCCATGTAGGTACCAGCTACTTAAAGAGTGAAAAAGTGAGAAAAGAGCTTAAGAGATTAATCATCTCTTAGCTGATCCATGTTATTTATAGAAGAAAATTACATCAGATTTACGCAATGTACAAGGAAAAGACTATAGCTAGGTTTCTAATGCTAATAAGTAAAAATAGCTTTATACCGCAGACAACTTAACCTATCTAAACAAGTTAAGCTATGCTATCAAGGGAAACTATTCTAACACAGCCGAACAGATAGCTTTATGGTCACTTTTTAATTTTGTTAATACATTATTATACATCTACAACTACCTGATTTTGCTCACTAGGAGAAAAATACCTACCATTAAATATGATGAGAAGCAATTCACCCCATCTGTACAGAAAGGATAAAAAACTTCCACACCCTATGCAATATTTATGGACTGATTGTATCCCTCCCATAAGGACAAGAGACTCATATTCCAAGACCATACAATCCTACTAAATGAAACCTGCCAAGACCAAAACAAGCCACCCCTACAAGAAATAAAGGAATTCTAAAAATTGGGCATATCCAAAGAACATTTTCTAGATCTAATAACCCAATGCCAAATAATCAGTAAAAAGCATAAGCCCAAATTTGTTATATTATCCGATGTGTAATATGCCAATCCGCCCTGAATTGGTTATTCCTGAATGAGTTATGAAAGGCGAAGCGGACATACCTTGTCTCTCTACATTAGGTCAAGAACACACCATGTTTTCACATCATCTTAACCTTTCATGTAATTTTAGTTTTGACAAACTTGACAAAACGTCTAGTGTATATTCTAAAGCTTTTAATATTACAATATTAGGAAATGTTAGACTTGTATATGTCTACTGGATAAATGGATTTAGTAGTAGAATGAGTGGATGATGATGCAGTTTGAATTTTGATATACACAAATAAACCTAAAGATTTATCATATTTAAAAAGACCCAGATAGTATCATAAAAGAGGCGGGTGGAAGGATAAATAGAACAAAAAATTTACTTTTGCTGCCTGCAATAACAGAAAACAACTGTATTTTAGTGTATGCCAACAATGGTATGTTCTCCTGATAAACATAGTTTATAAAGAGAGGAGAACTAAAAGAGAAAGAGTGAATAAGTGTTGGATATATAGTTGGAGAAAAAACAAACACAATATGGAAGGAATGGCCTTGCACCTTGACTAATATTGTCATTAAGAAGATTCAGATTTTAGCTAAAGCATGGTCCCTCAGGTCGTGGAGACAGGGATAACCATTCTTAGGATCAGGAAGAGAAATGGACAACCCTATGCCGATCAACTAATGAAATATTGTGGCTTTTTGGCAATATTACACTATTCAGTGTGAGAAATACAAAAAAGAAATTTGTAGTAGTTTAATATTGGGGTAGTATGGTTGTCCATCTACTTCAAGCATTAGCCCCAACTATAAAGCAAAGACAAAAAATAAGTGATGGTTAAGGGTACGCATATCATCACTTACCTACAGTGCCATAGCTCCCAAATGTTGCAGCAAATTCTGACAACTTATAATAGCTCCAGTAGAAACCCTTCTCGCACTGGCCAAAATGAACCATTTGCTTCAGCCTTCCATCCAACCTCCTTGAGAACTGTTTAGTTATTGATCATAGTTGGTTGCCAATGTTGTTTTGTTTGTTGCTTTATAAATTACTCTAAAGTCTAACCCTCTGAGGAGGGACTAATAGTTTGGAAAATTATGATTATAAACTCTCTGGTTATGCTAATGAGTTGAATATAAGATACTTTGTTTTTATTTGAACTTTGATTGAATGTATGAAATTTTATTATTGTTACCGACTATGCATACGGGGTAGTCATCTCTCTGAGTCATAGGTGATCATTATACTGTCTGGTTGTTGGGATATGCTAAAGAGCGCTCTTTGGAATTAGGATGGATATAAACTTTCTTCTTTTGTCTTTTTTACATATTCGCTACTTATGATCAAGTGCCTAGCTCTGTGTATCTGTATAACGATGCCTCTTTTCCTATTATGTTTTCATTTAGTAGTTGTTGCTTAGTAAGTGTCCTTCCTATTTTTGGGTTTTTGTTGTAATCTGTTTTGTATTTCATCAGAACGAGTTCATCTTTACCTTCAGAAACTAAATTTTTACATCTTCAGCCTTTTACTTTTATCCAGATTTTTTCTTCATCATTACCTTAATTACAAATGCAGTTGGAATATGCTATACATTACGCTTTAAAATAATACAAAAAAAAAAAAACTTGAGAAACATATAAAAATTGTCAAAATAACTTAATTTGATTATTAAACATTAACATTATTTCATATTCTTAGTTGAACGAAGATTGAAGGGGAGTAAAACAGGAAGATAAACAACCTGCAGAATTACTCAATCAAGGCCCCATAAACTTACTATTGTTGTCTCTCAAATCTCTTGAACTTTAAGAGAACAGTCATGGACAGACGCACAAACACCACCAGGCCACTAGCGTTGTCTTCCTCTTCCATCACTACCACCACCACCATTACAATTGAGAACTCTGAGTCATCAAGCTCTTCATCTCAGCATGAACAACAGCAACCAGAAGTCCTTTTCCTCCCCCTCAATCGCAAGAAGAAAAAAGTCAGTTGGAAAGAGGGGACTGTAGACAATGAGTTCATGGAGAAGAAGAGTTCCAAGAAGTGCTGTATCTTCCATAAAGAGAAGCCCTTTGATGAAGATGACAGCGATGAAGATGATCTTCACTCTGATGAACACCCTCAAAATAGTGGATTTTGCTGTAAGAATCATGATGAAGCAGGCCCAAGCAGCTAGGGAACTGATTGAGCTGTGAGCGGTGACTAATGAACCTTGAAGGTATACAAGTCAAAAATAAAATCATGACATTGGAACTAGCAGGAGGGGTCTTCAGTTTAAATTTGTGTTACAAATAATTGGCCTAGATTAGTTTGAAAATAGTCTCACTAATTTTTGTCATAATTGCAGTGTTTAAAGAGTAAAAATAATAAATTCTACTAGTAAAGTGTGATAATGAAATGTTGTCATAGTATTGCATGTGATTTTATATTAATATATATTTCTTAATTATGTCCTAAGAATAATGATTGGTAAAGTTACAAGTGTTATTTATATCATTTAATTGTTTTTAGAAGTAGCAGTGTTTTAAGCAAAGGACACTGAAGATGTCCATAAATTTCTTATAATTTTTATGACTTAGGGAAACAATTCAAAGTAGATTAGATTTTCTTTTTGAATATTCAAAATATAATAGATAGGATATGTTGAAGAGGATTAATATTGAAAAAGCAATGGAGGTTTGTGACCTGTCTTGGTTTCTTGTGGGGATAGAATCTCAGTTCGGTACTTTCACAAAATCAAATTGTTGCCCATTCTTTAAAATGATTTGCTATTGCACTATCATTAGTATTATTGCGCCATTGTAATACATACGTGAGAGAAGTTGTGATGCTATTCTTACTACCACCAAAAAACCATGTTTTGGTCCAACAGAAAATATGGGAAGAGGCAACAAGAAAGAAAAGAGAAGTGATTCTGAAAGACTCATTTCCAGAACAGCAGTAGCTTAAAGGGTTAAAAATGATTAAATAGAATTTAGGAAAAGTATAACTACTAATAATATATATATATATATATATATATATATATATATATATATATGCACATTAATTTTTTGCTTTAGTGTTTATTACTTTGAAAATCTGTCTTACTAAAAATCATTCAAGGAAAACTCAATGACACAAAACCATACCAATGGGAATAAAAGTGCATAATATATTTATTTCTCCTCAAGTAGATAATTATATTAAAAGCCTTGAAAGGAATGAATAGAAAAGAACAAAATAAAAATGAAATAGAGTGAAATAAATTGAGTGGTTGAAATGAAATAGAATGGAAAGAAGAAGAAAATAGAGACAAATTTTTTTAAGTTTTTGATGATTTATTTATTTACCTCTTTTAAACTTATTTTCAGAAAAAATATTTAATTATTTAAATAAATCTTAATACTTTATTCATAAATAGACTTGTCTATTTTCTATGTACGGAAATCGGTTCTAAAAAATCGAATTCTTAGTGAAAATAGATTTAAGTGACATTCAAAAGGTAGTCAGAATTTTATTTGTGGGAGATCAAATTTTAAATTGCAGTGTTTTTTTTTTTTCGTTTTGGGTATATATATATATATATATATATATATATATATATATATATATATATATATATATATATATATATATATAATTTTATTGGAGTACAAATATGTAAGGAATTAACTTAATTAGAAACCATATATACTAAAGAATAATTAGAGAATCATTTTCTACATCGTGAGCCAAATATGGACTATTATTCATATTTGTCAATATATGCATAATCTTTCTAGTCATGAATCGACTTTTGTATATTAGTCCATATAAATAATTCAATCTTCTTTTATATTTGTTTATGTTAGTTGCTTAGGTGTATAACTAGTGTTTTTTTTTTTTTTTCTAGTGTTTGATCATTTAGGCAATATCAATTGGGTGAACAACTTTTGGTTTTGAATTCGAACTAAAAGTCAATAATTAATTTCAGTTGTTTGTTTATGGTCTAAGTAATATTTTTAAATAGTCAATTGAAAGATAATGTACTTTGAATTCCCATTATTTAGGGTTACAACGTGTATAAGTAATACTAAAATCAATTGGACTTTCTATGATAATCACATATTAGACAAGATCACCAATTTATCAAGTCTCTATGCTAGGTCCTTAATTTTCACCTCATTGAATGCAATGTTAACAATTTTTAATGGTGTTAAAAACAAGAAAAATATACCCAAAATAGTCCAAAAATAACAAATTGAAACATTACAAAAATTCTCAATTGAGTGATTTGTATGGTTTTATCTACCCTCATGGTACCATCATTTTGTCACTTCCCACCCTAGGTCTTTAGTTTTCACACTAACCAATTTATATGTATTTATTTGTAGTCCATTGTTAAAAAGAAGAAAAAAAAAACATAAAGAATAATAACAAAATGAACAATTAATAAAATTGGTTCATAACTTTGTCACTTAAAAATGCCAATACTTATAACATGACACAAACATGAAACATACAAAATACATCATCTCAACTTTGAAAATAAAGCACATAAAAATAGTAACTTATTGCTACAAACTTTGTTACATAACATTAAGAGATTGATTCATAACTTTGTTAAATAAAAATGGCAAATTTATAACATGACACAAAATGTAAAACAAACAAACTATAGTGCCTCAACTTTGAAAATAAATTATATAAAAATAGAAATTTATTACAACAAACTTATGAAATAATCAAGCTCAGGTCCACATCTTGAATTTAAACACTTTCTTGCAAGCTGAAATCAATTTGTAAGGACTCTACCTTTATCATATCAACAACCAATTTTATCGATAGATATTAAGGAAATTGTAAATATCACTGTATCATGTCCTCGACATTGATTCTTATTGGCACAATGTCTTGTACAGTAGGATCTTTGAGCTTAAGTTTGAGCATAAAAGAATGTTAAAGCACCCTGAACCGAATGTTAAAGCACCTTGAATCGAATGTTTCAAATATGAAGGAAACCCAAAATGGGAAACACATAAAAGAATGATTATTCTCATAAGTAACGTGTGCCCATAATAAATTATTATATAAAGTTCTTCAATGTGAACCATTTTCTTTATATTCACTTGTCTCTTACTTCACTTTATGAGGACACTCGAATAGAAGGGAAACAATTTAGGGTTAGGTTTTAAGAATTGATTTTATTGGAAATAGAAAACAGAAAAAATAAAGGATACTGTAGGCGCCACAAATAAGAATATTTGATAAGCCAAGAAGGATCGCCACAAGAATCGAATAATTCTTGATAAGATCAAGTGATGCAAGGAAGAACCCTAGTAGAGCAACAACTCACAAAGTAATCTGAATATTACGTACGTTCATTTGGAATTCCCAAATGTTTAATACAACTTAAGTTTATGAGTTTGTCTCATTGCAGGAAATAAAAATAAATTAAAATCCTAATATCCTAAGCAAAGTTAAGTTACCCAGATGGTTTAGTGAAGACATTATAAGCTTTGGGTCTTGGGTTCAAATCCCCACTGTAGTAAATAAAATAATAATAATAATAAAAACTAAATCTTTTAGTTGGACCTCCTAGCTCTCCAAACATTTTATGCATGTGATAGGTCTAGACTCCTCCATGTTTGGATATTTTATTAGTTGGGCCTTTAGCAAATTGGTCACTTTGTATTGCAATGCCTCTTGTGTTTTTCTGAGTCTGCCTCTTGTCATAGGTCTACCTAAATCTTGGATTGGATCTTGGTCTTGATCCTTCTCGTTATGGGCTTGGGCCTTTATGTCCACATCATTCCCTCCTTCTTGGGCAACATTTGTCCTCAAATCTATGAATTCATCTCCTGCATCAAAAGGAGTCAAGTCAGCAACATTAAAAGAAGAACTTACATTATACTCTTCTGGTAGATCAATCTTATAAGCATTATCATTGATCTTCTCTAAGACTTGGAATGGCCCATCTCCTCTAGGTTGAAGTTTAGACTTTCTTTGTTCAGGAAACCTTTCCTTTCTCATGTGTACCCAAACCCAATCACCAGGTTGGAACACCACCTTTTTCCTACCCTTGTTAGCTTGTCTCGTGTAGCTCTCATTCTTCTTTTCAATTTGAGCTTTTACTTGCTCATGCAGCTTCTTCACATATTCTGCTTTAGCCTGTGCTTCCTTATGCTTAAACATAGAAATGTTAGGCAAAGACAACAAATCAAGAGGAGTCAAAGGATTAAATCCATACACAATCTCAAATGGTGAACAATTAGTGGTGCTATGGATAACCCGATTATAAGCAAACTCAACATGTGGTAAACATGCTTCCCAAGTCTTAAGATTTTTCTTTAAAATAGTCCTAAGCAATGTGCCTAAAGTCCTGTTGACTACCTCAGTTTGACCATCAGTTTGTGGGTGACAAGTAGTAGAAAACAATAATTTAGTATCAATCTTACCCCACAAGGTCCTCCAAAAGTGACTAAGGAATTTTAAATCCTTATCACTCATAATGCTCCTCGGCAACCCATGTAGCCTTACTACTTCCTTGAAAAACAAATCAGACACATGGCAAGCATCATCTACCTTCTTGCAAGGTATGAAATGTGCCATCTTAGAAAACCTATCAACAACAACAAACACATAAATCCTTTCCATTCTTTGTTTTAGGCAGCCCTAAAATAAAGTCCATAGAAATGTCAGTCCAAGGATATTCAGGAACAAGTAAAGGAGTATACAACCCATGAGGCTTAACCTTAGATTTAGCCTTTTTACACACAATGCAGTGATCACAAAACTTATTCACATCACGTTTCATATGAGGCCAAAAGAAATACTCTTGCAAAATTTCTAAAGTCTTTTGAACCCCAAAATGACCCATCAAACCCCCTTCATGTGATTCACTCATAAGCAACTCTCTAATGGAACACTTAGGCACACATAATTTATTTGCTTTAAACAAGAATCCATTATGCCTAAAGTAACCATTTTTAGAAAACCTTTCACATGCAGCAAAAGTTTCAGCAAAATCCACATCATTCACATACATGTCTTTCAAAGATTCAAGACCAAACAATTTAGTTTCAAGCATAGAAAGTAATGCATGTCTCCTAGAAAGTGCATCAGCTACTACATTCCCTTTTCCCTTTTTATGCTTGAAGACATATGAAAATTGCTCCAAGAACTCAACCCATTTGACATGCCTCTTATTTAACT